CAGTTTTGTCAATCCCAGTGTACAAGTGATCCTTTTTGAAACCCAGACTCCCCAGCTTGTCTATTTTATTTGCACAGCAAGCTCCTCATTCTAGAAAAAGCTCCTCCCTTGGCCTTCGCCAGGTGGGGCCATTAGGACCCTGCAGGAGTCATGGCCACAGAGCCCGGCTCCGGCAGCTCTGGTCATGGTGTCTGTTGTAGGTTAGATTCATATCCGTTTGTTGTTGGGATGGCCAGCACTGGGGGGCGGATGGAGCCCACAACCCCCCAGGAGCTGCTTGCCCCCCAGAAAGCCCATGTTGTTTCCCACTGCTGTTCCTGGAGGCTGCGCAGTCAGTGTCTTAAGGCAGACAGGCAGAAACCCAGTAACAGGGCGGGATAGCAGCCACTTCCCACCTGGAAAGAATATCTGTGGACTCAAGTCCACAGGTGCTGGGGAAAGAGATGTTTCCCTCACAGCCTCCCTCCTCTAGTTCACATGGTGCAGGATCACTCTGTGAGGACCCCAGTGGACAGTGTGGCACTGGGGGACAACATGCTTTCCCAGTGGCACCCAGATTTCCCTACACTTGCTTGAAGTCTATCATTCTAGGGGCTCTGAGCACCTCTGCTTGGGTCTCAAGCTCCAGGTGGTTCAATTATCAGTTGGTGAAACCAAGGCACAAGGTGGTAGTTCTCCACAATGGGGAAAGTGTTGGATTTCCAAGGCATTAGTCCTGATCAGTGCCACCCATGGGAGAGGGAACCAGCAAGAATTAGTAGCCTTACGGGCCTGAATGTGGCCCCATGAAATCTTAGTCATCCCAGAGGCTAAGTGGCTTTGAGCTGCAGATGAAGAAAGGTGGTCTCATCTGTCCTGGTTCTAAGGTTAGTCTCACACTCGCCTGGAGGGTACAGAAGGTTTGGCAGTTATCACATGTGACCAGAGTGCGGATTGTCCTTATTGTCATCTTTGTTTCTTTGGAGAATGCCCCAGACCATTTACTTGCTGAACACGTGACTGTATAAACCACCCTTAATGTGGGCCCTTCCGCTTCCCACGCTCCATTGGTGGCCAAGCGGCTTCTATGACTCCTCAAGATCTATGGAACATGTCCAACTCTGTGTTTTCACCTTTTAACCAATTCAGTATGTAATTTTCACTCCAAAACATTCTCCTCCAGATCACTGAGGAGGAAATTTTTCCCATTGTGGTTGCAATGTCCAAGGACAAAATAACCCACGAGAGATGGCTAGGAGCAGCATCCTGAAAAGAACCACATCCAGTTACTCTGAAGTGTCCTTGGCTGAAAACGTGTATAGAGATTTGGTTAAATGCTTCCTGATTCTTTTTAGTTCTAAGTCAACTTATTTCAGGTCACTGGTGACCCTGGGCACCTGCTGATCAGAAACTTGCAAAAATGACAGAAAAGCAATAGTGGGTCAAGGGAGAGTTGGTGAAAACAATTTCACCAAATAGACTGAAATTTCTGATAAAGGAATATCTATCTGCCCTCCACAGAAAAGGGAACAGAACAAAAGAACCAAGAGCCCGGGCTCTTATGCTCAGTGAAGTGTTTATTTAGGGTGCTCACATATTCAAACCCCAGAGCCTGTGCTCTGCAAGTCCAGAGTTGTTCTGGAAGTAGCAGGAGCCTAGGAAGAATTCTCATTCTTACCGTGGACTCTTTTTTTTTTTTTTTATAACAAAAAGTCTTTTCAAGTTTATTTATTTTTGAGAGAGAGAAATAGACAGAACACCAGTGGGGAAGGGGCAGAGAGAGAGAGAAGAAGATGTAGAATCTGAAGCAGGCTCCAGGCTCCGAGCTGTCAGCACAGAGCCTGATGCCGGGCTGGGACTCGTGAGCAGGAAATCATGACCTGAGACAAAGTCGGAGGCTTAACTGACTGAGCCACCCAGGAGCCCCTACTATGGACTCTAGTAGGTCAGTCCTCTATGAGTAGCCACTAATAGTAGTCATTGATCAGTCCCCTAATCCACATGCAAGTCCTCTTCTTCCTTCTTTCCATATTCCTACCCACCAGGTGGGCCTTCTCTGTGTGACCCCTCCGTGTATGTTTGCTGCACATCAGTCACTCTCCCCCTCTGCATATTATAGTTACGGCCTGCCAGTGAGCCCCTACCCAGATGGGACTGTTCTTCTTCTTCTTCTTTTTTTTTAATGTTTTATTTATTTCTAGGAGAGAGAGAGAGACAGCGTGAGCAGGGGAGGGTCAGAGAGAGAGGAAGTCACAGACTGAAACAGGCTCCAGGCTCTGAGCTGGCAGTCAGCACAGAGCCCGATGTGGGGCTCGAACCCATGAACCGTGAGATCATGACCT